TGAAGAGTTACAATCATCAACACTAGCAATGGAGTATTTGCCATATATGGCTATATGGGTAAGTAATTATAAAATTTTGTATATCAACAAGAGTCTTTTTATTTTTTTATTTGTTCAAGATTTATGTTTCTGAAGAGTTATCTAAGTCTTTTTCTTGTTATGAATGTATCTAAAAAGGTTTAAATAATCCAAACAGCCCAATTAGTCATTGAAGACTCAAAATAAAATAAAATAAATCAATTATGGGAAATGTTGTGACCCTTTCAAAAGATCACAGAGCTCAGTCATGGCACGTCACACAGATAACAATGTATGAGTCATATTTATATTGCATGCATTGATACACTTTCATGCTAATGTTAGTGACTCCAACTTTTTTTTTTTTTTTTTTTTTTTTTTTATAGTACGATATTAGAGAGACGGGGATTCAAACACATGATCTTAGATGCAAAGGTAAATGCTCTTAAACACTTAAGGTGCAAGTTCCCTGCGACTACAAGTAGATCTTTACAATTTACTATTGAGTTAATTTTATGGCTAGAAAAATGCCTAATTGGGTGAGAGTATAAGGCCCACACCCATTCAACAAGGTCCAAACACAACCAATTAATTAAGACATATTACATCATTTAAGGGCATGTTTATTAATAATGAATTGGGATAAACATGAATCATAGTATTTAGGAATCAGGTTAAGCATGAATATGAGTCAAGCATTTCAATTAAGTTGTTTACTAACTGTCATGAATCAAAATGAAAACAAAACTTATTCTTATTCAAACCTTTTACTATTGTTAAGAATCAAAATCAAAACTAGTTTGATTACCAAAATGCCCTTGCAAAACAAATTCAAAATATTCAACTACTTACACAATTTTTCAAATTATAATAAACTTTTTTTTTAACAAAAAAAAAACCTAACTTTTTATATAGTAATAATAAATCCAACTTAATATTTGTAAAAATAATCATGTTTTATAAGTTTAATTATTACTTCCTAGTATATATAAATATATATAATTAATTTAAATAGTTATGTTCAAATAAAATGGCAGGAACATTATTTTTTTTTTTTGGGTTTTTTGGTGTTTCATAAAATATATGAGGGCAATTTGGGTACAAAACTGTCCATTCCTATTCATCCATACCCAATTTCTACCTCCCTCATTGGAATGCAATTGCCCTTATATAAAGCAAAAAAACTTATGGGCTCCATATCAAGGACGGACCTAGAAATCTTACACCATAGGGTCATAGTGTAAAAGTTTGAAATTTTTTTTTTCGATCAAAATAACACTAGAAATGAAACGTTCATTCATAATTCACATTAAAAAAAACAACAACATTACAAGCTACAATTGTCCACGACAATGTTTCATATTTTGAAAACGTAGCATTATACCTTCATTTTTAATACAAGCAAAAACATCATTCTCAACGTAAACAAGCAAATTATCACTCAACTATTGATCTCCCATTTTGTTTTGAAGTAATAACTCACATCAATTAAAGAAAACACCAAATTTATACCAATTAACAACAAAAGATTCATAAATGAAACATCCAATAAATTAAAACAAAATAATAAAATAATAATTTCAATTCTATTAATTTAGGCTTAGAGTTAGAATTTACTTGAATTATGAGGTGGTGGACGCGGCGGCAACAATGGAGGAGATGGGGGTTAAAGGTTTTTTTTTTGGTAGGGGTGGGGGGAGATTGGGGATTTAGAGTTCAGGACAAAAGAATTGGGGTTTTGGGAGTTTCTGGGATGGGTGGAGGGGTTTTAGAATAGCCAGGGCTGTTTTTTTTTAAAAACAAAAAAAAAGACCTTGACCAAAACGACGTCGTTTTGGCTAGGTCATTTTAAAAAAATTATTTGGGCTAAAACGACGTCGTTTTGGCTAGTTCATTAAAAAAAAACAAAAAGAACAGCGTTAAAAAAAAAAAAAAAAGAAGAGAAGCGCAGCGCTTCTTCTTCTTCCTCGTGCAACAACCATTTCGTTCAGGCCAAACAAGAAGCAAGTGAAGGACATCCATGGAGTCGCATAGTCAGCTTAAAAGGACCTTTAAGCTTATTTCCATGGAGTCCATAGGGTTGTTTGACCCTATTGACCCCACCGTGGGTCCGTCCCTGCTCCATATCAATTTTCATTCCTAACATGCAAGTAAACAAAGAAGTGGTCAGGAATGGGAATGACTTCTATTTCTCTCATTCCCGTAAACATGTCCTAATAGTAATTAATTCAGAAAGTTTTGTCATGCTTGAGTTTCGATCTAGCTCTTCCTAAATAGTTACCGTTGCTGTTTTCTTGGTTCCAAATATAGCTTGTTCAACCACATCAAGGCCCTTGATCAAAGGGACAATTCCCCTTCTGAATTGCAAAACTTATATTTGAACTTGATTATAGGAGAGGAACTCTTGCCCTCCATATTGCTTAGCTTGCTGCCACAACTCGAAATCAGAGCCAAGACATACATTTTTTTTTGGTCGACCAAGACAGACATCAAAATAAAAGGAAAGCATTACTAAATGTACCTACCTTTATGTATTAGCAGTAATGCAACAACTATATAATAGCCTATAGCCCAACCAACTTTTGTTATTATTCAATTGTAGATACTAAGATGTTAACTTATGCTCTAATAATAGAGACATTAATATTAGGACATCGATAAGTGATAAATTCTTGTTTGCCGTTCAGAGTGGCTCAAAATGAAAACAAATGAAACACTGCCACATCAGTTAATTCTAATGATTAAATTTAATTTTGATGTCTTTGTTAATTCTAATGGTCAAACTGTTATGAAATTTCATCATTTGATCAAAAAATGATAGAGCTCGTCGGATTGAAATTAGTCATGTTTTCGTAGAACAAGGGCTTTACATGAGTCATGGAGGAAGGAAATTCCAATATTTTATTTGATAGTAGCAAAGGTAGCTGTATTGTTCCTTAGAGATTTCAACTGATCCTTCAAAATGTTATTCATTGAAGCAACTTTTTGAGAATATAAATTTTCGATTTCAACAGAGGCTACATCAGAAAATTAAATAAATCAAATCAAAAAAGTTGTTTTGGTAAACAAAAAGTCTTTGCAAAAGACATCAGTTTTAAATTTCATGATCTTTTTACACATGGTAACTTAGAATGAGTTCCATAATAAGAAATTTACAAAACAAACTGTTCTCAATCATATTAATGTGGTTTTATTATCCAATTTGCCAGCCAAGCCATTTTCTTCACTGCTGTTAGTCCCGTACACCTGCCAATTGGCACATCCATTCTCTAGTTTCCACGTGTCCTTCCTCGCCTACAAGATCAGCCCACACAAAGCGTATCTAACACGAACCCCCAACGCCTCTACGTTTCTCTAAACCTCCACACTCGCTATTATTAGAAACATCTGACCCTACGATCAAGTAGCCACTGAAATATAACGCAACCGCTCGCAAGTAGAGATTATCATTCTACACTCGCGACTGCGTTTCCTAAAATGGTGAAAACAAAAAAAATCGAAAACGAGAGAAAATCAAGAATGGATGTTTTTCAGGAACGAAGCAAAAATAGTGTGTTGAAGTTGCAGAGCGAGCGAGTCTCCTCATTCGCTATGCCCCCTCTCTCTAAAATTCCAGAATCTTCTCATTCTTTCTCTCTCTAAAAACCTAGACCCCATTTCTCTTTCACAGTCTCTTGCTTTTCTTCGTCGCCTGGTTTTCAACTCGCCACGGCGTCGTTTCCGCTGGTTTTCTTTCTCAAAGTCTGTTGACGTCGTTTCTTCGGCGGTCTCATATTTGAGAGCTGCGGTTAGGGTTTCGAAACTCTGATTCCGAGAAAGCGAGGTACGGATTTTGATCTTAATGCAACTTTTTTTTTTTGGCTCTGTTTGGTTTCCCAAGGAAGACAGGTTGGCTCTCTGTATTTTTGAGCAACCAAACAGGGGATTAGCTAAAGAAATTTTTGGTTTTGTGTATTGATTATTGTGCTTATGCTATTTTTATTGTTTACAATTGCACTGGAGTGTTTGATTGCTGAGAAAATGTTGTGGAAACAAAAGGAAAATGAAAGTTTTGAGTGTTGTGCTGTATACTGCTTGCTACGGAGGTTTTGTCTTAAATCTAACCCCTAAACATCTTAAAATAAACATCCTGACACATATCCATGGAAATAAATAAACTTCCCCCTGCAAATGTTATATTAATCTATTTTATATATATATATATATATATATATATTTGGTCAAGATATATTTTAAATAGTAATTCCATTTTAAAACCAATAACTTATAAATTTGTAAACAGTCTATATAAATTTATCTATTACATGCTTCTCTTGTATCTCAGAATATAATTTAACGTTTCTAGACATGCATACATAGCCTTCATTAAATCTACTAAAACCATATAGATTTGTCATTTGTGTATATGCATCCTTATAACATCCGTTTCCAAACAATTAGATCTTGGTTTTCAAACATTGAAAGATATACCAATAGCACTTGCAAAACTAAAATACTCTGTTTCCTTTTGACTTTGGTTCTAAACAAGCATAAATCTTGTGCAGAGTACATCAGTGGGGCATTCATTGAATTAATGATGCACCTTTCTCTTGATTATTCATTGAATTCTGACCTATTATTAGTACTTAATCACATTTCCATGGTAATAGATAGATACTTTCTATTATAATTATTAAAAAATGTCAATTCATTGAATTATTCAAGAATATCAAGAGGTTGACTTAAATGACTACAATTCCTTTTATGCATGGGTGTTTCTGCATTGAGGTTGTAAAATATAAATAATTGCAGCCAATGACACAAATCTGTGGCCTGCTCTCTTTGCTGCAAGAGCAATATCTTCAACTTGTAAAACGCGTTATCCCTTATCTTAAGCTCTATACTTTTTGTACCTTATTGCCTTGTTTAGTTGCTTGAAGTGAAGAGCTGAAATGAAATTAGAAGTTTAATCGCAGATATTATTTCTGCATTGCAGGTTTGAGATGTCTCACAGATCAAAAGAAGAAAAGGGGTATAGCCGGTCTGAATTAGAAGACTATGTGGACGAGTATTACTATCAGTTAAAGAAAGGTAGTGTTAAGGTTAAAAATTCTGATTCAACTTATAGATGCCCATTTTGTGATGGGAAGAGGAGACATGATTACCGACTAAAGGAGCTTTCACGACATGCGTATGACATTGGCAGAGACAGCAAGGGTTTAAAAGAGAAATCAAAGCACTTGGCTTTGGAGAGGTATATAGACAGATATCTTTATGTGAAGAGTCGGTTAGAATCTGCACCCAAGATTGAAAGCCCTAAACACTCGCAGAGACGGACTCAAGTGGTGGCTGTAGTGGGCTCCTCCCAAATCAGAGAAAAGTCTATTCATTCTGAAACTCCAGCCCACTCCCAGCTTCTTCCCAGCTTCTTCCCGGCCCCCACTCTCCCCACCCCAAAGGCACAACCCACAACAGGTTCTAAGGCTGGTTCCACCCTTGCTACACGGGAGGACGACCAATGGTTTGTATGGCCTCCAATGGGCATTTTGGCAAATGTTAAAACTGAACTAAAGGATGGAAGACATGTTGGGGAAAGTGGTTCCAAACTTAAAACTGACTTGGCAAGTAAAGGTTTTAACCCTTTGAGGGTTCATCCTTTATGGACATACAGGGGTCACTCTGGGTTTGCAATTGTTGAATTTGAGAAAAGCTGGGAAGGTTTCCATAATGCAAAGTCCTTTGACAAGAGTTTTGAAGTTGATCACCGTGGAAAAGGGGACTATAATGTAACGAGGAATCGAGGAGATAACTTGTATGGATGGGTTGCTCGGGATGATGATTACAATTTGAGAAGCACTGTGGGTGATTATCTTCGTAAGAATGGAGATTTGAAAACTGTTTCTGCTCAACAAGAAGAAGAACATACGAAAAATTCAAAGCTAGTTACCACTCTAACTAGCACCTTAGTTATAAAGAATTCACATCTAAAGGAGATGGAAAGAAAATGTCGTACCACTGACGATGCTTTAAACAAGTTGGAGTCTGAAAAGGAAGATATTCTCAAAGCTTGCAATGAAAGTATGCTTTCTCCAACTTTATATAATGGGTGTACGTCAAATTTATTCTTTTATTCCCAGTTTCATTTGTGTGTGTTTGCTTACATTATATTTCAATTTATGTGTTTAGAAAGAGAAAAAATGCAAAAAATTGCTCATGACCAATTGGCAAAGATATGCTTAGACCACCAGAAAACCGCATTGGAGTTGGAAGCTACAAAAAAAGAGCTTGAGGACCGTGAGAAACAACTGCAACAACGCCGTGCACAAAATGATAGTGAGAGAAGGAAAATCTATCATGAAAGGAAAATGGTAATCTTATTGTTTCCATCTTAAACTTAGGCTCTGTTTGTATATTATAGAGATATATCACTGGCATTAACTTCTGGGTTGCATTTGATACTTGTTCAGAGCCATTTTAAACGTGACGTGGGTTGTAAATTGGTGCACTAACATTGGAATTAGAATTTTAGAAGGATAAGAGAGAACCAATAGAATAAGATCAACGAGTTAGAACATTACATTAAGTTTCCTTTTACATTTTTCTGCTGCCCAACTTATTTGATATTTCACTAGGCAAGTCAGAAACTCTTGTCCTATGCGCTTCTGGTTTGAGTTGGTAAGGTACATTAAGGATGTACAAAGTTGACCTTGTATTCTAGTTTAAATTTTGTGTAACTCTTCCTTGATTTTCTATATTTTCTATATTTTCGAAGTCAGGCATCATAGTTATCTTTAGATTTTCTGGTTCTCTTCTTTGTCTAATCTAGTGTCCAAAATCTCATTAGGTGTGATATTCCTGGAAATTATTATTTAGTGTAGGCTTATAGAGTTTTTGTTATGGTTGTTTTCTAGAATGAGATGGCTACCTTGGAGCAAAAGAAGGCTGACGAAAAGATGTTACGGTTAGCAGAAGAACAAAAGGTTTGTTTCCATTATTTATTTGAAACTTTAAGAGTTGGATGCATGAGTATCTGAAATTGTGTTTACTGATTGGATGGAAATTGCAGAGAGAAAAGGAGAAACTTCACAAGAGAATCATTGAGTTGGAAAAGCAGCTTGATGCCAAACAGGTACTGGAGCTTGAGATAGAGCGAATGAGAGGTGCTTTAAAGGTGATGAACCACATGGATGAGGATGAGGATTTGGAAGCCAGGAAGAAGATGACTGAAATTAAAGAGAAGTTACAGGAGAAGGAGGAGGAGTATACTGATGTAGAGGAACTTTATAAAACACTTGTTGTTATGGAGCGGAGGAATAATGATGAAGTGCAGGAGGCTCGTAAGGAAGTAATCAATGTATGTACTTTTTTTTTGTTTGGTTTGAGTCTTGGGGGGTTTATTGAATTATATCTCTCTAATTTGGCTTCTCATTCTTTTTTCTTAATATTATTTTCTAAACTCTCTCCCTAAATTTGTATAGAATTAATGTTTGATGAAACTGCTCTGCCTTAATAAGTTATAGCCTCTGGACCATATTTGATGATTTTGGTGCTACACATTGAGTTTGAATCACATGTATATATTACCATGTTGAAAGATAAGGTGGTGGAAACTAGTGAGATGATCATATAGTTCCCCAAATACAACCTGTTGTTCTTAATGAAGGATGCTGGTTTATGGGGTTTCGGAGGCATTGATTTCTTATTTAAACTAGAATGTAACTTTAGCAATGTGGCTTAATTTTTGATCGTGATCCTTTCTTATTGTGTGGTTTATTGATCAGTAATTCTTCCTTATCATTGTGGTTGTTCATCCTTGCTTATCAATGTGATAGCGTTTTAGTCGTGTTGTCGGAGCTTAAATTTTGTTCTTTGCAGGAACTGCGGGGTTCAAGCAGCCGTGCTTCCATTGGCGTGAAGATAATGGGAGATCTTGATGAAAAACCATTCCAAACTGCAACCAAGAAGAAATATTCTGAAGAAGAAGCAGATGTGAAGGCAGTGGAGTTATGTTCTCTGTGGCAGGAGCATCTTAGGGATCCAAGTTGGTATCCTTTCAGGATTATCACGGATAAAGAAGGAAAGACCAAGGTATATGTTCAACTTCAAGCAATTTCTGTGTTTCAATAGAATACCATGGTTGGTGACACTGGCACCAATTTAACTTATATTGAGTGAGCATGGTTTCAGTTAAAGAAATGGTCATGTCCCTGTCCCTGCAAATTTGAGCACCTGAGGTTTTATTAAAAACATATCCATGTGGTCCATCCTGTGAAATTGCAATCTGCATGTTAATTTTCTTCTCCCCATCCTCTGCTCAATCCTGTAGTATAGCAACATTTCTTCTTGAAGGTTTCTAGCATCACAACGTGAGATTGTGCTTTATCTCATATACTAGATCCTATATCACAGTGAGCTTGTACCCTAAGCTTCTAATTTGTCTGTTGGACTGCCCCTTTCACTGAGTTCTACCCACCACAAGATTGTCATTTTTTTGTTCCATTTTTCTTGCTATTGCTTCTTTGTAGTTAAACTCTTCTAGTTTTGATCCACATCTTAGTTTCCTCTTAATTGGGTTATATTGGATGTGAGTACAGGAAATTATTAATGAAGAAGATGACAAATTGAAGGCTTTAAAAAATGAGCTGGGTGATGAAGTGTACGAGAAGGTGACAACTGCTATGAAGGAATTGAATGAGTATAATGCCAGTGGTCGGTATACAATACCTGAGCTGTGGAACTTCAAAGAAGGGAGGAAGGCATTGTTGGAAGAGGGAGTAGTGTTTTTGCTAAACAAGTGGAAGCTGCTTAGAAGACGGAAAAGATAAACAAGGCAAGTACTTAAAATGTTACTTCATATGGAGCTTTCTGCTTAAGAGATATTTGAACTCTTTCAAGGTTAAGAATTGACGATCAGTTACATTATTAAACTTAATGTTGATAAGGATTCCCTTATAATTGTCATCACAGTTTGCCTAAATATTCCAATCAATTTGAACTCGTAAATACGCCATGAAGACAGTATGCTGACCAAACTTGGTACTAAAGAATCTATAGCATCATGTGTAGCATGTAGTTTAATTGTTGCAATTTTTGTTTTTATACAATGGTTTATTTCCTTGTGTGCTTTTTGCAGGCATTTTGGAATATGGATGGGGGTGCTCAAAGAACTTCTTTTAAAAGTGTCAACTAGCTGCTGTTAATGTTCTTTGCTATTGCTTGTCTGTTGTCTTACTGATAGATTGACTATTAAGAATATAGTTTTAGCATCTGATGCAACAGTTTGATTGAGGGCCGATTAAATTTGACTTTATATTTCCTAACTAGTATTAGTTGTTAGAAGTTGGAACACACTATTGTGCATGGCAACATTTGGTCGCCGCTTGACCAAACTCTTTTGTCTCTTAGCTTTCAACAAATTAAATGGAGATGCTAAAGAGTTGTTTTCATCTTATATCTGGATCAATGGCTGCTTATCTATCTCAGTTCTTGGTAGTTTTGATGGGCCTCTCTCTCTCAACCCATTGGCAATTGGTTTTGGGTTGGGCACCCGCAGAGCATGATCGTTTATGTGTGAAGTCCGGTGGCCATATGAGCTGTTTTATCACTGGCATTAACTTCTGGGTTGCATATGATACTTGTTCAGAGTCGGTTTAAACTTTAAATGTGACGTGAGTTGTAAATTGGTGTGCTAATATTGGAAATTGAATGTTAGAAGGATAAGGGAGAACCAAGAGAATCTTAAAACATTTACTTGAATGTTAGATTGAGGGCAGATTTAAACTTGACTTTATTTTTCGTAACTAGTATTAATTGTTACAAGTTGGAAGGCACTATTTTTCATGGTCACATTTGGTTGCTGCTTCACCACATAAACAGCAGGTTGATTAATCCGACTGTTACCATTTAAATGCTTGTACTTCTCCTTCTGTTCGGTACTAGTGGTTGCTTTGGCAGTTTAGGGATTATCTAGTTGCTTATTTTTTGGTTGGTTCTCAACGTTTGGTTGAAAATTCCAATTTCTGCAACAATAGCCAAGATTTTTTGCTGAAAATCTTCTCTTAACTTTCAACAAAGAAAATGGAAAACCTATAAGATGATATAGAGTTGGTTCATCCATCTCTGTTCTTGGACTGTTGATGGGCCTCTCCACCTATTGCCAATTGGTTTTGTATTGGGCACTCACATTCTAATATGGTATCAAACCATGATTGTTTATGTGTGAAGCCTAACGGCCATACGTACTCTACATCATCTAATTGAATTGTTCACATAATAAGCTTAGAATTTTGCCGCACAAACTTCCTTCGTGATATCATGTGTAAATTAAACTAAATACTTTGTGATATTTCAATTAAGTTCTACTATTTCATTGTTTACATTGGAGCAATAACAACTAGATCAACTAAAACACACCAAATAAAAAATAAAAAAATAAAAAAAATCCTCAGGCATTTCTCCCTCCCTCAGCCGGCGGCCATTCATTCAAATTATCTCTTTGTTTCTATTTTTATTTTTAAATTATTGCAAATCCTGTCCATTAGGTTATACATCAGTTTATACGCTGAAGCCTTTGCTATGAAACAAGAGTTACCTTGGGCAGCAAGATTAAAGATTTTGCAGGTGGAAATTGAGGGAGATTCTAAGACGCTTGTACAAATCATCACTAAGCAAGGTGTTGTACCATGGAGCTTACGATCACTTTCGGAAGATATCTGGCAATTTCTTAGAAATTTCAATTTTGTGACTATCAAACATGTTTATAGAAAAGCTAATATGGTTACTGATTAGTTAGTTAAAAAATGGGCACGTCTATAACAATTCATCTATTTGGTTTAGTAATTTCCCTGTGGATGTAATTACTAGAGTCTATTTTGATACGTATGGTAAGATCCCAAGGGGATCTCATCTGTAATGTATTTCTGTTTTTTTTTTAAATTTAAAAAGTTTAAAGACCTTAAAAATATATTAAGAATAAAAAATAGAGCAAACACTTCATAAAGAAAAGAAAACCATTCAATTCCATCGACTTCTTGGGGTACGGCCAGTACCCCTGCTCGTTGACGCGTGTTTCTAATTTTCCAATCTGCCGGTTCCACGTGTCTTTCATAAAACTACTTAATCAGAAGAACAAAAATATCAATGAAACACCACTTTTCTTTATCGGTCTATATATTTCCAATCTTTTCATCTTCCTTCAATAAAAAGAAAAAGGAGAAAAATCTTTTCATCTTCCTAAAACCCCAAGGTCTGTGTTCTGTTGTCTGGGGGCATCCATAGAGAGAGCACTTGCTAAAGAGTAAGGATTATCTCTCCTTTGCATGTTAATGATTATGTGTGTGCAGTTTTTATTGTTGAAAGTGAAATGCATTGTTTGGTTGCTAAGAGAAAGTGGTAAAATAATTCAAATGCAATATGGTTTTGGGACCTGCAGTTAAAAAGATTGCAGTGGTGGAACTTAATTTCCACCCTTTTGCTTTGTTGGGGAACATGAAAGACAAGACCTTTATCTGCATGCACCTTGTTTTCTTGTTTGGTTGATTTGAAGAGGTAGGATTGAAGTTGAATCTTAGTTTTTTTTGTATTCCTTTTTCCCTTCGGTATTGCAGGTTTGAAATGTCTCAAGTTTCAGAAGAAATGAATATTGGTGAGTCTGAGTTTTGTCTTGATCTTTATGTTGCCTTTGCCTTTGAAGGGGCATGCAAGATTAGCTTACTTTAATTTTTATGTCATGTTTGATAAATAGCAAAGTTGAAACAAAATGTGCGTGACCACCTGGAGAAGGTATTCTTGGAGCAGGATAAAGCCTTAGCCAAATCTGAAGTTCAAAAGAATGATAATAAGAAAAAGCTTGAGCATATTGAGGCACAGAAGAAAGAGCTCATGAAAAAGCTTGAGCAGAGTGAAGCCAAGAAGAATGAACTACAGGAAAAGCATGCGCAAAGTGAAGCCCAGAAGAAGGAGCTTCAGAAAAAGCATGAGCAGAGTGAAGCCCAGAAGAGGGAGCTTCAGAAAAAGCATGAGCAGAGCGAGGCTCAGAAGAAAGAGCTTCAGAAAAAGCATGAGCAGGGCGAGGCTCAGAAGAAAGAGCTTCAGAAAAAGCATGAGCAGAGCGAGGCTCAGAAGAAAGAGCTTCAGAAAAAGTTTGAGCAGAGTGAATCGCACAATAAAGATCTTCAGAAAAAGCTTGATCACAGTGAAGCTCAGAAGAAAGAGCTTCAGAAAAAGCTTGAGCAAATTGAAGCACAAAATAACGGGCTTCAATTTCGTAAGCAGCGTGAGATACAACTAATGAAACAAATGGTATTATCATTTTCTCAACTTAAAACCAATTAACTTATCTTTTGATTGTTTAGTCCTCTCCTTTGGGTAATCTACTGACCAGAATATGATCGGCTTAGATGTTATTGGCAATTATTATTTAATATGAGTTAATGCTGTGCCTTTTTCTCTCAGTATGGGGAAACTGTCTTAGAGAAAAGGATGACTGATGAAAAGATGATAGAGAAAAAGGTTTGTTTTCCCTCTATTGTAAAAAGTAAGAGATTTGTTTAAGTCAATCATATATAAATGAGTTTTGTAAATTTCGGTTTGGTGATTTTATGGCAACGGCAGAAAGAAAATGAGAAACTTCATAGGAAAATAATTGAATTGGAAAAGTTGTGTGATCAAGACAAGGATCAAGCTGAGGTTAAGGATGTCAAGCAGGGAAAAACAGATGAGGATGATGAGGATGAGGATGAGGACCGAGAGCAGGATCAGGATGAGGTTAAAGATGATGAGGATGATGAGGATGAGGATGAGGACCAAGAGCAGGATCAGGATGAGGTTAACGATGATGACGGGAATGAGAAGATGAAGGAAATTCGAAAAAAGTTAAAGGAGACGGAAGAGGAGTTGGAATATGCTGAAGCTCATAACCATAAACTTATTGCAAAGGAGTCTGAATTAGAGGAGGCTCGTAAGGAGTTAATCTATGTATGTATATCAAGGATTTTGAATTTCTGTGCATGTCTTTCATTAATTCTATTATTTTAAGGGTAATGATTTCCCCACTCCAATTTTATCCACTTACACTCCTTTTTTAGTTATAAAATGGAGTGCAAGTGGATAAAATTGGAGTGGGGAAATCACCACTCTATTTTAAATACAAGAAGTTTACACTATGCAAGTACATTTGTCAACACCCCAATGTTTGCTTAAAGTTATACATATCTGGTATCTGTTATTTAGTTTCTTGTTGTTAATTTATTTTAAAGATTATTTTCTAAAATAGTTACCCTTACGTTATATGATCCAATGTAGGCTTAAACTTTAAATGCCTTCACATATTAGAGCTCATTGACTGTATTTTGAAGTCTTCAAATCTGGATATACAATGGCGTTGGTATTTAATCTTGTTAAATTAAATCACATGTGTATTAACATCTTCTGTTGATAGAAAGATCATGTGTAACCAGTAGATAGATGACCTATGTACGCTGTCCAACCTACAATTTTGTTGCACTACTAGAGTTTTAGGTTTACATAAAATTTCGTAGACATCAGCAAAATAAAAATGTGATGCTGTTATAAATTTAGGATACATTTTTTTTTCTCTCGTCTGATCTCTAAAACACTCCAGATATAATTGGTTGGGGGATTGATCAATCTATAGCTAGATGACTTCTTTGCTATAGCTTAATTGTGAATCATGATGTTTTCTTGTCAATGTGATAATCCTCGTCATTTTTTTGCAGGGATGGGATTCAGCAAGTCGTGCTTTTATTGGCGTGAAGAGAATGGGAGAGCTTGAAAGCAAACCATTTCAAACTGCATGCAAGAGAAGATATCCTATGGATGAAGCAGATGACCAGGCAGCGGCACTATGTTCTCTGTGGGAGAGTTATCTTAGGGATTCTTGCTGGAAACCATTCAAAAGTACAAGGGTAGCCTTTCGTCAACAACCGAAGGTATATATTTAATTAGTACAGCACTATCAGACCAATAATAGCGTACCATTTTTGGTGAGTTCATTTTGTGTTGCTCTTCTCTTGATACGCTAGTTTGTAACTTTCATGTGTACATGTGCTTTCAAATAAAGAAATATCCATGTTATGGTTCCTGCAAATAGAAGCACAGTTTTTGTTAAAGATATATCTATGCTGTCAGTCCTGTGACTTGCAGTCTTCATGTTCCTTTTCTGCTCATTTTGTTAACTTTATTCTCTTCTCGCACTGCTCACTCTATAGCCTTTGATCTTGAAGGCTTATGCTTCTGAAGCATGTACTAGGTCTTGTATAACGGGGAGCTTGTTTTGTCTGTCGGAACATTGAGTCCAGAGTCTCTGGACTGTGCAGTTTATCCACATTAAGATTGTCATGATTTTGGCCCATCATTCTCTTGCCATAAAATTCTTGTACATGATTAATGTCATCCAGAACTTCTCATCTCCCATCTGCCTTTCTAACTGGATTATATTGGATTTGAGTGTACAGATAACTATTGATGAGGGAGATGAAAAACTGAAAAAATTAAAGGACGAGTTTGGTGATGAAGTCTACAATGCTGCGACAACTGCCTTGCTGGAATCGAAAGAGTATAATAGTCACCATTGGAGGTGTACAGCATCAGAATTATGGAACTTTAAACAAGGGAGGAGAGCATCATTAAAAGAGGGTGTCTCGTATTTACTGAAGCAGTTGAAACTGCAGAAAAGGAGAAGATCAAGCTGAAGGTATGTATCAAAATGTACTTTCTATATAGAAATATCAGATACAGCTTTCAACTTGCGGGTAACTCTTACTAGAATTGTTTCAAGTTTCTTTCGAAATGTTTGGTAACATAGAATTGGTTAGGCTTATGTTTAGTTACATATTAAAAATTAATGTTTGCAAGGTCAAAATCGAACTTGGCTAAATAATTATTAAGACCAATAAACTTGTTATTTATTCTACGCAGGTTTACTTTTATTACATAATCTGACCTGAATATGCTTTTTGGTAGGCATTGTGGAAAGAAGGTGGAGTGCTTAAAGAGCTTTGGTTACTGTCAAGAGTCAACTGGCTGCTTCTTAATGTTCATATTCTATTTTGCTCATCTGTCGTGTGATGAATAGATTGAAACTTAAGAATTTTCTTTTGGCATCAGATGTTGTGAGAGACTTGTATGTATAGGGATCAAGTCAAGCAGTGGACCTCTTTACTTTTGCATTTTTGTTTAGTTTTATATCTGCGCTTCTTCTTCTAAACCTCACCCATCTAGCAAGCAACCAATGACCTAAATGAAAAAGGTTAGCTTTTAGTATAAATGTGATTATTTCACACGAAGCTTTCTATCCTAAACAATCTACCTCTAGCACAGAAATTGTCAAGATTTTTGTAGTTGCATAATGTTCTTGCTTAACTAAACACTCTCTCTCAATTCCATGAACAAAAATACAGTTTTTCCGTAGAAAGGGGCCCCTCATACTCGCTTTTAAAGCTGACACGTTCGAAAAGAATGAGGGTTCAATTCTCAATAAAACAACAACCAGACTAGAATCCAGGCCGGAGATATAGCAAAAGCAAGTTAAACTTCTGGGAATTTTATAAGGTTGTTTAGTAGAAAACGAAGAGTTACTGACAAATAAATTATAGGAACAAAACAAAATACCCATTATCTTTGGTAGCTTTAACCTAATTTCCAGACTTTTCATTAGTACCCAAGTTTTTGCTTTGTTTCCATAACCCTAGTAATCATTCTGAATTGTTAGGAAGATAGATAAGACTGGCTTCTACACTGAAGAAGTGTTTGTGTGGCCTTGTAGGCATTCTGGCAAACATTAAAACTGAATTAAAAAATGGGAAACAAGTTAGGGAAAGTGGTTCCAAACTTAGTCCACTCCCATCAAGTTTCCTACACTGCTTTTCACTTATTTGATATTCAATTAGACCTTGAAGTGGTTCAAATTTAGCCTGCATTTCTCTCTCTTCTTTCGTCTAGTTCTCTCCTTTTGCCAATCTTCTGTCTAATTTGATAGAAGTATTCTTGGCAGTTAGTATATACTGTTCGCTGATAGAGTTCTTTTCTCTTTCAGAATGAGAAGGCTACCTCAATGCAAAAGAAGGCTGACAAAAGTCTGCTATGGTTGGCAGAACACATGGTTTGCTTTCCCATAACTCTCTGTTTTTTGTTATCACTTGTGACTTTGGTGAATGAATCTTTGAAATTTCATCTTAGTGAATGAGTTTCGATTGCGGAGAGAAAAGGAGAAACTAAACAAGTTGCAAAAGCAGCTGGATGTCAAAGTCACTGGAGCTGGAGATAAAGCGTCTGAGAGGTACTTTTAAAGTGATGACGAAGATGGATGAAATTCAAGATAAGTTAAGGGAGAAGGAGGAGGAGTTGACGATGCTGAAGAACTTTATAGAGCATTCCTTGTTGAGGAGCGGAAGGAATAATGATGAACTGCAGGATGCTTGTTAGGAGTTAATCAGTGTATGTATATTTGTGTTTTTTAGTTTCTTTTGGTTTGACTCCATTGGTTTATTGAATTGTATCTCTCTTTAACTTCTGCAGAATTAAGTTATTTATTATAACTGAAGTGCCTTGAAAAATTAGTCTCTTGACCATGTTTGTTGATTTAGCCAATCTTGAAAACAGAAGGTTTGAATGTCACCAAAATGCTAATAAGAGTGCCACTTACTAAATGATTTTGCGTTGTTTGGTGTTTGAGATTGTGATGCACCATGACCATAAAAAAAAGTAAAGCAGATGGTGCTGCACAACATATATGCCATTTTAATTCTAAATACAAGAGTGGTTAATTTTTACTTAAAAGATGAATTAGCATGTGGGAATAATAGAATTCATTTTGAAATATGGGACCTTCTTCAATAATTCTAGAGGCGCCAACTCGTTTTCTAGAGACGCCAACTCGTATCGAAATTTTTTCAAATCCTAAATGAGGTAGCAAGATTTCATTCGTTTGTACTTGGACTCACTGTGAATCGCCATGTTTAGTAAACAGAAGAAGAGTCATTAATAAATAAATTTTCCTTAATAGGTTTTTAAGGATATGGATGAAGAACTGGCTGGCCAGACTTATATAAGAATAGTATACAGAATAGAGAAGAAGTGGGTTTAGCTTCGCCAAAGTCCAAATCTGAATTGTTAATTCTAAAACGGTAAGCATTTTTTTACCACAAAACCAATTGCTGTGTAGTGTATTGCAAGTGGGTTTTCCTGCTGGCTTCTTGAAAGGGCTATTTGTTTTTCTGGGCAGCCAAACAGAAGATTTTCCAAGGACATTCTGGTTTTGCATATTGATGATTTTGCTTGTACATGGTTTATGCCGTTAGCAAAATGAAATACATTGTTTGGTTGTTAAGAAAAGTCAGATGAATAGAAAAATCAATGCTAGTGTTTTGAGTCATGTATCTCTTATGGTCTTGGACAAATTTGATTTAGTTGGGAACCTTTTCTTTATTTGTTTGACCAAAACAGTTATGGAAGATTCGTCCTTTTGTCTTTGTATTTCTCTTTTTATTTATTTATTTTTCTAGCTTATATGATTGTTTAGTTACATTTTAGAAATTGGATTGAATTTGAATCTTTGATTATTTCTTTTCCCTTTTGTATTGCAGGTTTGAGTCTTTGAGATGTCTGAAAGTTCAGATCAAGTTGATTGTTGCAATGGTAAGTTTGAATTTTGTCTTCATTAAGGGTTAAAATTTCTGAGTTTCTGTTAAAAAAATTTCCTTTGAAAAGGGCTGCAAGATTACTAAATTTCATTTTCCTATTCAATGAACGTGCTTTAAATTTGAATGTTCTGTTTTCCTGTTTTATTCTTCTGGTATCTTACTTTATTTTCCATTCTATGTTGTTAAAATAGCAAATCGGCTGAAAAATACTCATCCCTTGCGCGACCACCATGAGAAGGCACTCTTGGAGGAGGACAAAGCCTTGACAGAGTTTGATGCTCAGTGCATAGATGTTAAGAAAGAGCTTGAGCCGAGTGAAGCTCCAAAGAAAGAACTTAGCAAAGAGCTGGAGCAGAGTGGAGCTCAAAAGAAAAAGCTTAAGAAAAAGACACAACTTCAAAAGCAGTTGCCACAAATGGTATTCTTAATGCCCTCAACTTCAAATAAATTAACTTGGGTTGAATTTTCTTTTACATTGTTCTTGTTCAACTTATTTGATTTTCTTAGAATATCAATGATTCATGGGACTCCGCTGTCCTACTTGCTTGGTTCTGGTTAAGGTTGTACAATGTTGTCTTGAACATTTAAGTAGCTCTTCCTTGCTAACTATCTTTTAGTTCTCCCTTTTGCTAATCTAGTGGCAGAATTTATGGTTGTACCACTGTCTGCACACGTATGGTATTTATTTGATATACGCTGTTGTATTTGGCATTTATTAGTGAATTGGGAACTGATTAGTGCCTTTTTTAAAATGGTGCCTTAACAATTTATATTGACACTCATTTTTCTGAACAGGGTGACGAAACAGAAGGAGGCTCTAATGAGCCTGCCACAGAACCTGGCAGTCTGATTCTTGATGCAAGCACTGCCTATTTTTCGGAGGTCTGCCGTTAAACACTTGGTTAAGAATACAGGAAACAATCTCTGTAGGATTGTTAGGTATTATTTCAGACTGATCTTTATTTCTGGACAGGACAAACTAGCTGAAGGCAATGGGAAGAACCTCATCCCAGAGCCAATTCCTTCTCAAACTCTTGAAGAAGTAAACTCCTCTCCTTCAGTTTTCTTAAAGATTATTATACTCCAACTTAAACTAACCATTATATACATGTTATCAGGCTGCGGTCCCTGAACAAGCTACTATCTCTGAAGAAGATCGACTGCTGCTCCTACTTTCGTCCACTAAACAGCTTCTTCAACTTCAAGATGAACCGCAGGCCTCAAATGCAGCAGAGTTAGCCAAACAAACTCTCAGGACTTGGCTTTCCAGAGACCTAGAAACGATTTCCCCTCATGAAAACTTTGGAGAGCTAAAGGAGGCTCTGGAAGTCCTCCATGCTCAGAACCTGCTCCCTGAAGAACTGCTAAGGATGCTTCACAAAATGTTCATTGGCCATTTTGGTTTTGATGCTCATATTGCTGAAAAAATCAAAGAGAAACAAGAACTCCATGACTACACAAGGTTCTTGACTGATCATGAACAAGACCTGGCTAAGATCAAACATGGAGTAGAGATATGCCAAGCCTGTGAAGCTGAGCTGGTGGAATATGACTTGAAACTCGGCAGGGTCAAGGCAGAATTGGCTGCATTGGAACAAGGAAGAGCCGGACTTATTAAGAAAATTCAGGGAGTGATGGGAGGCGTGGAGCCTATCAAGAGGAAATTAGAACAAGAATCTTCTCAAGCTGATCAAGTCAGGGCTAAAAGATTTAAGCTAGAAGTTAAGGCAGAGTGTATTAACGCTCTGTGGTTGGCCATTAGGAAGGCTATAAACAATTATTTTAGCTTCTAAACATATCAGCCATAACTGTTGCCATTTTATGAACACAAATGCCATAAAATATTATATGGCCAAGAAAACTGTACCTTCATCCATGTTTGCTTTGCAATACATAATTTTAGTCCTAGCTTATTTTCTTTTTCTTCAAATGGATTAATCCTTAGTAATTAAATAAAATCCTAAAAATTAAGTAAAGGGTTTAATACTTAAAATTGAAGTACCAAGAACTAAGGGATCGTTTGGTACGGCGGATTGTAATGGACTGGACTAAATACTATGACTGTCTTGGATTGGCTTGGCTTGTCATAAGCTGGATAACACTTGTACTGCGTTTGATATATGTTTTGATTGGACAAGGACTAATTTTTTTTTACTTTTCTTCTCTCTCTCTCTCTCTCTCTCTCTCTTTCTCTCTCTCTCTCTCTCTTTACTCTTCTTCCTCTTTGCTTCTCTTTCTTCTTCTTCTTCTATTTACTTTTCTCTTCTCTTTCTCTCTTATTCCTCTTCTATTATGTCTTCTCCTTTTTTTTTTTTTTTTTTTTTTCTATTTCTGTCTTTCTTCCTCCTCCTTTTATTTTCTTCGAAATTTTTCTCTTCTTCCTCTTCTATTTTGTCTTCTCCTTCTCCTCTTTTTTTGTTGTTGAAAATTTTCTCTTCTCTCTTCTCTTCCTCTTCTATTCTGTCTTCTCTTTCTTGGGTGGTTGTGGTTGGTGGTCGTGTCTGGTGGTTGTAGTTGGTGGTCATGTCTGGTGGTTATGGCTGATGGTCGTGGTTGCCGCTTGGGGGTTCAGTTGTTGTGGGGTTGGTTGCTCGTTGCTTGGGTCGGGATTGTTAGTCCCTCCTCTCTAGATGGGTTTCAGTAGAAACACATGAGGAGGTGTTTTTTGGTGATCCCACTTAAAATTAGAACCGGGTAAAACAAATATGGGATAAAATCTTAGCCAAACTAGTCCATGCACGATGCACGATAAAATAAAACCCACTCTTATTATCAAAAAAAAAAAAAAAAAAAAAAAAAAAAAAAAAAAAAAAAAAAAAAAGTAACATGTAACAAAAACAAACAACAAAAAAAATGCCCCCTCATGAAGGAAAATGGAAAAAAGAAAAAAAAAAATTGGAGTAATAGAAATTGAAATAGATGATACAGTTGTCATGTGATGTTTCGATGTTAATGTTGGCATTAGAAAACTGGTGTATAAGTGTGGTGCTCATAATATCTAAAAATAGAGACATTTGAAATCAGTAAGTGGGCCCGGTATCGGTTGGATGTCGAAAATACCACAGGATCCGTCACGGATTCCGAGAAATTCGGGGCGAGTCCTGTCATTTTATTTGTATTGTTATAGCTTGGTTTTTTCAAGCTTTATCTTTTAATTATTATTTTAAGTTTGAAATCCTAGTTGGGATGCATACGCTAGAGTTTCTTCGATACTGCGTGCTCGTTAGTGGAGGCGCACCAGATTGTCTTAATTTTGATGTTTGGTAAAGTATTGGCTTTTCACTCGATAACTTACCGGTAAGTTGTAGTCTTTTCACTGCATCATTTACATGTCGATTAAATATCGGCTTTTCACGCAATAACTTACCGGTAAGTTATAGGCTTTTCGCTCAATCATTTACCTGACGATTAAATATTGGCTTTTCACGCCATAACTTACCGGTAAGTTATAGGCTTTTCACTCCATCACTTACATGATGGTTAAATATTGGCTTTTCACGCTATAACTTACCGGTAAGTTATTGGCTTTTTGCTCTATCACTTACATATTGAGCGTAAAATTATCACAAATGCATGTGCACTGATTTGATTGAAGTTGCCATTGTTTTTGGATCAATTTTAACATGCAAATACTAGTCATAACTCTAGGGGTTATTTTTTGTTATTTCAATCCCTAGTATGGACATGAATATATTAAATTAACAAAGACATAACTATTTTTCGGTAGAAAGGTTAAAGAGCGTGCTGTTGAAATTGCCAAGGCCATAGATGACGAAGATGGGTTGATAGGAGCATTGAATGCCTTTCATAGGCACTTTCCTCACAGTAAATATGAGGATAAACCCGAGTCATTGCCTGCTAGAAGTGGCTTATTTTCCATCAGTAGGTGTTTTGGCTATTCCCATTTCAGTACACATCCCACGGCCTCTCCTCCACATTTGTAAGTTGGAGCAGTTTCTCTCTGTAATGAGGCTGACTTGAGTACCCTATAACAGTAAGAAAAGAAAAGAATACCCACAGATTCTCTTGTAATGACTGCAAAAAGATTCAGTCTCTAAGCCCCAAGTTGTTAGTGTGTCAACTAGTTGAAAATGCAGTTTTGTTTTAGTACACAAAATTGTATTTACAGGCTCCTTTTGCTCTACCATCCCCAACCAACAAACCACCAGTGATAGTGACATGTACATTTATCTTCAAGTTCTCAATCTTGTTGTTGCTATAACAATAATTGTAATAGACGAAGAATTTGCTAAACAGTTCTGTCTTAGTTTGCTAGACCACAGTTTGTCATAAAACTGTGCACACAAAAAAAAAAAAAAAAAACAAAGATAAAATAAAAAAACAACTAAGGCAGCTTTGACGGGGGAAAAAAAAACAAAGACTAAGGGCGTTTGACTAAAACAACCAAAGTCATTCGAAGGTTGGAAAAAACTAAAAGGAGACAAGTCATTTTTTCCTTTGCGTAGAGCTCATCGATACGAGTTCATAGACACGTAGTGGGCCCAAATCGCAGTTTTAACGAAGAAGTTACGGTCAGCGGAAGCACAGTGGCACAATTGTAAATATTTCAAGGTCAGAATTTTAAAACCCAGGTCAGCTTCTTTTCTCTCTCTCTCTCTCTCTCTCTCCCCGTCGCACAACAACATTTTCCGACGCTGAATCCGGCTTCGTCCGGCCACCGTTTTCGACGAAACGACTTGCAAACTTTTCCTCTCCTCCTCTACTTGACCCACCCAATTTCAAAAACCCGGGTCTCACCCAGGTGCAACCGCGAGATAAAATATATTTTTGGACTCTAATTTGGTCATTGGGATCGAATCCTATTTATTAGATTTGTTAAGTTCGGTTTTGAATTTATCGGTAGCCTGAAGGGATGTGGTTATAATGTGGTTGTGATTGTGTCGGGGCTGAAACCTATTTTAGATTGATGAATGATTGTGGATTGAGTCCTTACAACTACTTATGACTATGCCTGGAGGGTAGACTGTGCATGCTGAAGTGTGGAAATTTTAAACTGTGTTTTTGACAGGTTGAAAAATTTGGTTAAGTCCGTTTTTCAAAGGAGACTCTGCCGAAATTTCGGTAGAAGTCTCGGCCCTCTTTTCCTTTGTTTTAGGGGAAGAGGGCATTTGAAATCAGTAAGTGGGCCCGGTATCGGTTGGATGTCGAAAATACCACATGATTCGTCACGAATTCCGAGGAATTCGGGGCGAGTCTTGTCATTTTATTTGTATTGTTATAGCTTGGTTTTTTCAAGCTTTATCTTTTAATTATTATTTTAAGTTTGAAATCCTAGTTGGGATGCATATGCCAGAGTTTCTTCGATACTGCGTGCTCGTTAGTGGAGGCGCACCAGATTGTCTTAATTTTGATGTTTGGTAAAGTATTGGCTTTTCACTCGATAACTTACCGGTAAGTTGTAGTCTTTTCACTGCATCATTTACATGTCGATTAAATATCGGCTTTTCACGCAATAACTTACCGGTAAGTTATAGGCTTTTCGCTCAATCATTTACCTGACGATTAAATATTGGCTTTTCACGCCATAACTTACCGGTAAATTATAGGCTTTTCACTCCATCACTTACATGATGGTTAAATATTGGCTTTTCACGCTATAACTTACCGGTAAGTTATTGGCTTTTTGCTCTATCACTTACATATTGAGCATAAAATTATCACACATGCATGCGCACTGATTTGATTGAAGTTGCCATTGTTTTTGGATCAATTTTAACATGCAAATACTAGTCATAACTCTAGGGGTTATTTTTTGTTATTTCAATCCCTAGTATGGACATGAATATATTAAATTAACAAAGACATAACTATTTTTCGGTAGAAAGGTTAAAGAGCGTGTTGTTGAAATTGCCAAGGCCATAGATGACGAAGATGGGTTGATAGGAGCATTGAATGCCTTTCATAGGCACTTTCCTCACAGTAAATATGAGGATAAACCCGAGTCATTGCCTGCTAGAAGTGGCTTATTTTCCATCAGTAGGTGTTTTGGCTATTCCCATTTCAGTACACATCCCACGGCCTCTCCTCCACATTTGTAAGTTGGAGCAGTTTCTCTCTGTAATGAGGCTGACTTGAGTACCCTATAACAGTAAGAAAAGAAAAGAATACCCACAGATTCTCTTGTAATGACTGCAAAAAGATTCAGTCTCTAAGCCCCAAGTTGTTAGTGTGTCAACTAGCTGAAAATGCAGTTTTGTTTTAGTACACAAAATTGTATTTACAGGCTCCTTTTGCTCTACCATCCCCAACCAACAAACCACCAGTGATAGTGACATGTACATTTATCTTCAAGTTCTCAATCTTGTTGTTGCTATAACAATAATTGTAATAGACGAAGAATTTGCTAAACAGTTCTGTCTTAGTTTGCTAGACCACAGTTTGTCATAAAACTGTGCCACAAAAAAAAAAAAACAAAGACAAATATAATAAAAGAACAACTAAGACAGCTTTGACGGGGGAAAAAAAAACAAAGACTAAGGGCGTTTGACTAAAACAACCAAAGTCATTCGAAGGTTGGAAAAAACTAAAAGGAGACAAGTCATTTTTTCCCTTGCGTAGAGCTCATCGATACGAGTTCATAGACACGTAGTGGTTCCAAATCGCAATTTTAACGAAGAAGTTACGGTCATGATGTTGCGTTCTCAGATTTATATAGGTTTTTTACACTATAACTTACCGGTACGATATGGTGTTTTTAGAAAAATAATCTATTTACTTAATAAATTACGGGTAAGATGTTGCGTTCTTAGTTATATAAGCACTTTACACTATA